TCTGCAGGTAGGTAGGTGCACCTGTATCATGCAATGCCGTCGAAGGTCAGAAGAGGTCGTCGGATCCCCTGGAACTGGAGTTAAAGATATGTGGGTGCCGGGTCCTCTGCAAGAACCACCAGTGCTCTTAAATGCTAAGCCATCTCTCTAGCCCCACAAAGGAAGCTTCTTTTAAAGTGTCATAGCTGTATAGTCCAGTATGTGGCTCTTGGAATGAGCACTTGAAATATGACTGGCGAGTTGAGGGACTGAACTTTTAATTTTGTTTCTTCTTAAGCTGCTAGTGGCAACTGGTATACATGCAGCTCTAGAGTTCCATAAAGCATGACAAAAAGGAAAATCACATGCTTCAGGACAGACTGGAATTGGCTGATTAAGGGCATGTGGGTGTAGGATGAAAAACATTCAATGAAACATAGTGAATTACAAATCGGCCATCACCAAAAATGAATATTAGCAAGCCGCTCTTCCTAAGCTAGTATTCACCCTTTTTCATAGACCTTAAATAGCAATATTTTAAACCTATTACATTTCCTATTTTACTGAGGTAGAGACTTGCTGGCTAGCCTGAGCCTGGCACTCACTCTGTAGGAATAACCTCAGACTTGTGGGGATCCTTCAGCCTTTTCCTACCAAGTTGTGGGATTATAGGTAATTATCACTAGGATACTCTCATAATTTATATTCCATCTTTTAAAGACTGTGTTAGAGCTAGGCGTGATGGCACATGCTTGTAATCTCAGCACTTGGGAGGTAGAAGCAGGAAGATCTGGAGTTCCAGATCATCCTTGGCTACATGAGTTTGATACCAGCCTGGGCTACATGATACCATCTCAAACACACACACCCTGAAAAAAAAATGTTAGTGAATTGGTAATGAAATCATCATTGACCTAGATACATGACACTTTGGGTTTCAGTTTTTAGGACTCTAACATTGTGAATATCTGCGGTTTTGAAACTCCTTTCTAAATGAAAACATACTGTCAGTGTCTTGCCACCTTCACTCACTCTCCTGTCTCTTTATAAAGGATCAAAGGAATCACTTAGCACAGAATTATGGAGTAAGAATTTCATCTAGCTAATCATACCATCTCTAACCTGGATCTAGTGACAAGAATAAAAGGCCTGTGACTGGGTCAGAAGCAGTGATTGTTTACCAGCTGGTGCTATGGGGTATGCAAACACTTAGATTCATGGTCCCATACAGGATCAATCCAGTGATTACCTTAGTAAGCGTACTTTTGGAGTAACAAAGTGAGATTTGCAGTTTAACTTTGTTTAGAATTTGAATATAAAAGCCCCTTCCTCACAGGCATTCTGGATTTTTCCATTTTCCTAACCACTCAGAGTATTCTCAGCCATACTTTATTACATATCAGTTTAAAGATTCATTTAATGAATCTTTGCAGGTTTTTTAATGTGTTTATTTTCTGCCATCCTGTCATTAATTCTCAGAATTATAGAACAAGTATAACTAGCATCATTTGGGAACAAACAGTTTCTGGTAAGCTGATTCAGTGCAGTAGATGAGAGGACAGAGAGCTGGTAATGGCCAACGTGGACTGCCTAGGCCAGGGTCTAAGATGTTTAATCCTACAAGACAGTTCTCCTTGCAGACAAAAACCTTATGCATAGAAAGGTCACTTGCTCTTTCATTTCTTGTCTGTATAAGTTCAGACTCAGGTTTTCCATTTCTGCTACATTTGCTTAACTCTGGTTCTTTAGTTTCTAATTATATTTGCACCCTATTTGCTAATACTTAAACCTGAAATTTAAAGCTCATTTTGGACATGATACTCCCCTCAGAGAAGCCATAAGGCGTGAACTAAGGCCTTGCCAAACATAATGTTAATCTATAGTCTTTTTTCTGGATTTGCCACTGTTTTGCCAGTTAATGTGCTTGAAATGATGCTGGCAGAGCAAGTGATCCAGAGTAAGAGGAACAATGCTGGTCCCTTAAACATTGATTGACCACTGCTATGAGATAAAGGCATGCCCCTAGGCACAGGTGTGCTGCTCATCTAATGAGGGTGTTGGCCTCCTGGACAGATATGCTCTTGTCTTCAACTCAGCCTGTTAAGGGTGTAAAGGAAAGGTGGGAGTTGTTGAACTACTGTTGTTGACTGAAACTATCCAGTTGGGGAAAGTTGAGTCCCAAGCACCCACGTGAAAAGTCAGGCATAGTGACACACACCTCTAGCCACAGTGCTTTGGTGGTTGGGAGGCCAGGCAGTGTCGCCAAAATAGCTCAGTGAGAGAATAGGTCTCAAAGCATAAGGTAGAAAGCAACAGAGGAAAATGCTAGACATCTCCCTCTGCTCTGCACACTCATGCATGAGTGCACTCACTGCATAGACAAGTGCACACTCACCAGCTTACCTCAAATACAGCACATCTTTGTCAAAAAGTCAGTGTACACATTGGGGAGTAATCTTTTCCCCCAGGGCTGGCGATACAGCTCAGTGGTAGAGTGCTTGCCTAGTGTGCGGGTTAGTTTTTATTGTCAACTTGATACAACCTAGAGTCACCTGGGAAGAGGGGCTCTCAATAGAATAATTTTCTAGATCAGATTGCCCTGTGGCTATGTCTATAGAAAGATTGTTGTGGACTGAATAGCTGGCACAGCCGTTAAAGGCTCAGGCGCACAACCAAAGGTGGTTCTGATTGATGTGGGCAGGTAAGTCTGGGCTGTATAAGAAAGCTAGCTAAGGGGCTGGAGAGATGGCTCAGTGGTTAAGAGAACTGGCTGCTCTTGCAGAGGACCCAGGTTCGAATGCTAGCACCCACATGGTGGCTAACAACCATCCATAACTCCTGTTCCAGAGGATCTGATGCCCTCTTCTGACCTCTTGAGGGCACTGCACGACACGGATACACTTAAATACATGCAGGCAATACATATATATGAAATAAAAATATAAATAAAAAAGGTGAGCATGAGGTCAGAGGGCAAGTGAAATGAGCAGCATTCCTTCATGAATTCTTCATTCCTGCTTGAGTTCCTGCCCTGACTTCCCTCAATAATAGATTGTGACCTGGAAGTGTAAGCTGAAGTAAACCCTATCCTCTCTAGGTTTCTTTTGATCAGAGTGGTTTATCCCAGCGTCAGAAAGGAAACTAGAACACCTAGCACATTCAAGGCCTTGGGTTCCATTAACAAGTACCACCAAAAAGGGGGAGGGCATTCTGAATGTAGTGGTATACTCCACACACACACACACACACACACACACACACACACACACAGAAGAACTGCTTAAATTTACTTGAAGGCAATATACAATAATATTGCAACATTTTTGTTCAAGATGCTTCTGTTACCTTCATAACATTTGGTTGTTAGAGCATTTTCTAAAACTTGAGTTTTCAACCTAACCTAGGCCAGTCTTTCATTTGCAAGATGGCTGTGTCAGTACTAGTCAATGGTTAGCAGCTAGGATGCTTGTTTGTGCTGGTAAGTAATCTTTTTAAGGGTCAGACTTTAGGCTTTATGCCTATAGACCTCCTTAAGAGGCGAGGCCAGGTATTTTAGTGTTTGCAAACCATATGGTCTGTTTCCAAAACTCTGCTGTTGCAGCAGCAGAAATGCAGCCAGACAATATGCAAAAGTGAGTATGAGTGACGAGATTCTAATAAAGTTGAACTGAAATTTGAACATCACAGAATTTAAAAACCATAAAAATTACCAGGTACACGCCTGTAAATCCTAGAACTCAGGTAGCAACACAGTGAGTTCAAGGGCAGCCAGCCTGTACTACCTACCAATTTCCAGGACAGCCTGAGCTATACACCAAGATCCTGCTTCAAACAACAACAACAAAAAATTGCCCATTTTTTAGCTCAGACTGCTCAAAACAGGTGGGTTATAGTTTGCCAGCCTTGTTCTAGACTGTAAGTTGCAACTACTTTATCAAAATGGAGTGACTTTACTCAAATGGGTTTGGAATCTGTGCAGGTACCTCTTTTCAGTTAATCATAGACATAAAAATAACACTCTGCCCCAGTCATTGGCTTTTCATACATTTCCCTAACTTTCTCACGTCTGTTGTATTCAAGAACTCTTTACATTTTATGGATGAAGAACAGGATGACTAGCCTATGGTCATGTCTCTTTAGTTGAAGAGTAATATTCCATAGCTAAAGAATAACTACTGTGTGGGGTTGGGGAGATGGCTCAGTGGGTAAAGTTCCTGGTGATGTAAGTATGAGAACCTGAGTTTTGATCCCTAGCATCCATGTGAAAAGCCAGGCATGGTGGCAGATACCTGTCATCCCAGCCTTGGGAGGGATGGGAGGGAGATGGGCATGTTCCAGGGGCTTGCTGGGCTCCAGGTTCAGTGAGAGATCCTGTCTCAAAAGAATGTAAGGGGCTGGAGAGATGGCTCAGCAGTTAAGAGCACTGCTCTTGCAGAGAACCCAGGTTCGATTCCCAGCACCCACATGGCAGCTATGAACGGTCCTTAACTCAGTTCCAGGGGAATCCAACACCCTCTTCTGACCTACAGGAGTGCATGACACGGGTGCACTCACATGCAGGCAATATACTCACACACATAAAATAAAAATAATAAAATATTAAAAAAAAAAAAACGTGGAGAGATAGAGGGCTACACTTGATGCTGGCCTCCGGTCTCTGCACACTCATAGTGGGCATACTCACCATTATGTACATGTACACACCCCCCAAAATAAAAATAACTCATGTGTCCACAAAACTCAGCGTATCCAACTCTAGGATTAAAAACTTGTCTAGGAACTAGAAGGCTGCACTTAGATCCCATAGTTTAAATGTTCAGTGATGCGACTGTCAGTGTGGAATGCTGACTTCAGCTCACCACATAGGTGCTCAGTTGGTGGCGGGGAGGGGTGTCCTTAGAAATTTCAATGAAATTTAAGAGCAATCTAGAATCCAGTTACAACCTGGAAAGGCTTGCAATGTTGTTTGTATCGTTCCTGTTTCTCAAGCCTGAAATACATGGTTGTTCTGGTTCTTGCAGGTGCTGTTGGTGAGTAGCAGTCGGTACCCAGACCAGTGGATTGTCCCAGGAGGGGGAATGGAGCCAGAGGAGGAGCCCGGCGGTGCTGCTGTGAGGGAAGTGTATGAGGAGGTGAGATGAAAAGGATTTTGTGTGAGTTGTACAAACAAGGCTTTTTGCCAGGTAATTCTGAGAAGGCAAGAAGACGGGCAGGTGGCAGAAGTGTTTTGATGTCTAATGCAACTTTTATAAGTGAATGACTATAGTTAACATTTTGCCAGATATATTTTTTTCTACCTAGTAAACAGCTAAAATGAATGTGTAAGTTTCCTAGAATTGTATTAATACGCAACTTCCTGTATTCAGAATTATCATTTGATTTAATCAGTGTATAACATGATGACCTTATCTCAGAGCCAGGTCATTATTGCATTAACCAGATACATTCATGTGCTGTAATTCTCACATTAATAAGCAAATTGCTTATATTTTGTGTCTTAAAATTCAGTAAAATGTGGCCCCCAAGTCACTTCCTTTACTTGAATAGGATTTCCTTTGGTGTAAGTTATAAGCGGGAAGTATATGCCTATGCTCTCTTTGGGCTTTGGAGCACATCAAGAAAGGTTTCAGAGATGGGTCTTGACAGTTGGGCAGCTTTCTGATGAGAGTACCTCCCACAGAGGAAGCTCCAAGGCCCAGTGCACAGGAGCACTGAGCTTGCTGTTGGTCAGATAAGTGCGAGGGAGGGTCTCACTACAGTGAAAAGGTAGCATATAGAATTGTAACCTCTGGACTAGTGGAAAAAGGAGAAAGGCAGGTTTTTATGAAAAGGAAGAACCTATTCACATGGAAAAGTCCATCTTTGTTCAGAGATTATTCCAGTTTGATAGGAATTTTTTTTTATTTATTTATTTATTTATTTATTTATTTATTTATTTATTTATTTATTTATTTA